AGCAACAAACATCCAAGCGCCTGAGAACTGGTATTGAGCGTCGCTTATGTCGTTATGCCCCACTTAGGTAGCATCGCCTGATTGCCTTCTGACTCTGCGCGTGAAGCCTCATCGACCAGTCCATAGCCAGCTTGAAGACCGGCCGAGGCACCGCCTGCGGGACCTTGCGTTCGCGATGCAGCAGGACGCTGGCATCGTGGCGTCGGCCCCGACAGAGTGGGGCAAGGGGCTTAGATGCTGCGTTCCGTGTCAGCTGGTCAAAACTTTCGAACAATTCTACGAGCAGGGCTGCGAGAACTGCCCCTACCTGGCGATGGATGGGGACCGGGAGAGGATTTACGACGCGACCACTACCGATTTCCACGTAGGTTTTACGGGCACCTTCAAAGAGCATACACATACATACGCAATGTGTTCCCTGATTCCCGTGCTTACCCCTGCTGCAGGGCCTGACCTCCGTGGTAGATCCTCAGAGTAGCTGGGTGTCCAAGTGGCTGCATCACAAAAACCATGTCCCAGGGTGCTATGCTCTTTCGGTGGATGTGCAGCAGCTACCACAGCACATTGAAGATATTCTGAGCGACAATGGGGTCAAGTGGAAGAGGGAGCAATAGGAGCTCCCGCTTTTTTATTCGCCTCGCCGAGATTCATGTCCCTGCGAACTCCCTATCCCTGGCATCTCAAAGCTACCTCATCCCTTTATAGCCTTCTGTAATGTAAAAACAGCTTGCTCGACTTCGATCCTGCTCATCTCCTTAGCTGGAACAGCTCCATAGCAAGGCCCTGGCCAGCTGGGATCCGATGCTAGCCGTGCCGTTATGTGCACATGCAGTTGCGAGACCTTGGCAGGGAGAACGGTGGGAAAGCGTTTGGGCGATGCTGGCGTGCACATGTCGGTACAGACATGCCTCATCTATCACTCACCACGTTGCCAATGGCTGCAATGTTCATCTTGTCTGGATGATAGAGTGCCTGTAGGGGAATGCCATTCAGTGCCGGATGGTGGACCACTATGTTCCAGCAGATGGAATTGCCACGTGAGTACCACGGTGGCATCCTCGCATCACACCTGGATAGCTTTTGAGACGAGGGACACCTCCCGCCACAGCTGTGCTTGTTCTGAGTCTGTCAGCTCTGTAATCTCACGTATACCGTCTATTCTGGGCACCAACACCACCCAGCAGGGATAGTTTTGGTCGATCATCAGGTAAACCCTGCTGAGCTCCAGATTGCAGATCTGCATTGATCATCTGAGTGAAGCTCATAAGAGACCATGACCACATTTGCGGCTGGACAACCCCCTCTCAACCCCACTCGCCTCAGCTTTGCCTTCGAGGAGCTGAGGTACAGGGCTAAAATGTTTGAGGACGCGAGTTTTGTATGTCTCCTCACGGGACTTTTTGCCGGCTTGGCACCTACTCAGCAGTGCGAGCCCTGCCCCAAGAAGGGCAGGGACGGCGATGGCAATCGCATCATGGACCATGCCGATGCTGTGAGTCTACGATGAGGTAGCGGTTGAATTCGAGCTCGCATGTAGATTGAGGAGATGGAAGGGGAGTTATTCAACACCTGGTGCCACCCTCTAGTCGCCCGGGGATGGTAAGCCGGGATCGTGAAGCGCATGCGTCGCGGTTTGTCTTTGGCCCAGAGCATACGAGGAAGAATCAGGCTCTTCTATACGGCGTTGTTTGGCGCATTCCGTACCTTACAACGGGCCGAGCAGATTGTATCTGTGTTATCTTGTTGCCGTAAGCCCTTTCCCTCTCGCAGTTGTGAAGCAGGGTATTCCAGGATAGAGGGCACCTCGCATCCAGCTCCAGAGATGGTAAAGGTGAGGAGTGTGGCATCGCTCTCGCATGTTACGAGTCTGGCGATTGCATTCAAAGGCCTTGACGCTCACGATCGATGATCAGGGCACTGAGAACACGGAGGCGACCCACACGGTGACACAGCTGTACAAGGTAGAGGTTGGAGTGGCCGCAGTCACACACCCCGACATGTGGTGCTGATGTCCAGCGCGAGCACAAGGGCACAGGCCGGAATCACCCCAACGCACATGCCGTAGGACGCATCTCTTTTCAATAAGTATGCGAATTACATGAAATACGAGAAGCGAGGACTGCACTGCAGCATTCTGTACCAGGAGCCTGCTGATCTCCCAAAGTCGTGGTCAAAATGGATGCTGGATCTCACTCGCACCAACATGAAGGTGGGGTTGATGGCCTCAAGCAGCAGGTGTCCTGTCAAGTTCTTTTGTTCCCCACTAACATGGCGAATCTAGTCAGCAGCGTCGTTTCCCAGACTGTGCGCAGGCTCACTATGAAGCGTGTCCCGGGTGGGGATGGAGGGAGAGGGAAAAGAAGTCTGAATTGGCGCATCCCTCTGCACGCTACCTTGTAGCTGCATCCAGTGTAGCTGAGAGTGAAGAAAACATAGCGGCCTGCAATAGCGAGCAGGGCTGTGATGTGAAACCGGTGAGTTTTGCATGCCGGTATCATGTACCCGTGTGTGCAAGGGACCAAACCGACAGAGGGCAGGTATGTCATACTAATGTTCCACATCAATGTGCGCCTTTGCAGGTAGCCTTTCTCCACTTTCGGTTTGAGGTGGAGGACCATAAGCCCATCCTCTACCTTTATGAACTCCAGTTGGATAATTCCGTCCAGGTAGGCATTGCATGCATGCCAGCTGGTATCCTTGGGTGTAAGCCGCGTGATGCCGTGATGGTGCATGGGCACTCTGTGCTGTAGCTTTTGCCGCGGGGCTCCATTCCTCCAAGTTGTTGTCATCGTCTGTCCTACCCGCCTTGTGCTCACAGAGGAAAGGGCTGGGTCAGTTCCTTGTGCGCCTCTTGGAGTTGGTGGCGTGGCAATCAGGACTTAGCCAACTAAAACTCACAGTCTTGAACACCAATGACGGTGCTGGCCTATTTTACAAATCTATGGGATTTGCCCTGGATCAGACAAGCCCATCTGCAGTCAGTCTGGATGCAGCACCTGGGTGAGTGGCTGACGAGCAGGCCTGCTTGTTGCAGGGCACTCTGAGATCAAACTGACAATCTTTCCCAAGCCCCCAGGTACGAGATACTGTCCAAGAAGAATCCCCGACTATGACATTGGATGCGCCGGATTACTGCCGAGTAAACACTATGTGCGCTGGCGTCAGATGCATGTGATCTGCTGCCCAGCCCTCGACATGATGATGCCAGGTACCACCTTGTTAGCTGGCATTCTGCGAACTTTCCAATGAGGGCTTTGCCCTTTACAATCCCTTGCTGCTGTTGACCGCTCAGCTGTCGAGAGTCTGACATCTTTGGGCAAGGGATCCACGAGCATGGAGAATGGCCTGCATGGGAGTAGTATCGCATGCGCATCACTGGAATACGAAATGCGTGCACGACCTCGGAACATGGACATTAACAAAGGTCCGTTCGTTCATCTGAAAACGGAAGCACCGATGCGATAATGGGAGATGGAGCAGTGCACGCTGCCTGTGCCTCCCCTATAGAAGGCTCTGGGTTCTGGGTGTGCCCCGCCCCATTCAGCCCCACATTGGTGACAGAGAATGAAACGTTGGAGACAATAAGGTGAGCACCTGCAACTATCACGGGTAACTCTTCGTCGAGGGCACACATTGCCCAGTGTCGGCGTCGCCTACACGCGCAGGCCAGTGGTGCTGAACTCGGAGGTGGTGGCATTGGACGCAGAGTGGGAACCAGGTTCCAAATTCCCACGGGCGACCCTCGTGCAGCTTGCTGCATGGTCCCACGATGTTGGACTCTACGTCATTTTGCTGGTGAGATGCAGAATGCAGACACTCTGCCTGTGCAGTGTTTGCAAACCAATGGGGTCTCAGTGTGGGACGATCACTAAGCCTCACCCATTGATCTTCGATGCAGGACACCCTCAGTCTCCCCATAGCATCCGTGAGGTCCATGATACAGGAGATGCTGGACAACCCAAGGAGCATTGTTGTGGGGTACGGCTTGCGGACAGATTTGCAAAGCATTGGCATTCATCGATCGCCTCAAAGCCTGGCTCATGCAGTGGATCTCAACAGGTTGCAGAACACCCTTGCGAATCGCATGCCATATCACCTTCGCCCCGCCGGAGCCGGCCTGGGTGCCTTGATAGAGGCGCACTTGGGTCAGTCCCTGGACAAGTCCCAGCAGTGCAGCCGCTGGGGTGATCGCCCTCTGAGCGATGCACAGCTGCACTATGCTGCCCTGGATTCTGTGTGTCTGCTGGGAGTGCTGCAGTCCCTCATCGTACACACTGAGAGCAGCAAGGTGCGCGACTCGCCTGGCACCGATTCTCCTGCGCTGGAACCAGCCAACGCAGACGAGAGCTGCTGGCCACACTTCCGGAGGGAGGCGCTTTGGCAGGTAGCCTTGACATGGCCCGCATACTGCTGGGACTCCGCCAAGCAAATTAGAAAGAGGGACGCCCGACGAAGACATACGACTGGTGAGGTTTGAAGTCATGCTGGTTGGAGTGCTTGAGCATTACTGATGTGGCGAGGTGTCTTTGCAAGCTCCCCTCCAGCTGCCTGTCTAATTTTTAGTTGCAAGTCCTCCATTCTGTACAGTGCAGCCCTACTTCGTTCTCTTTGCCGTGCTGCCTTCCATTCAGGACACTCCTCCACCCCCGTCTCCCCCCCAACGATGCAGAGGTGGTGACTCTTGCCCCTATAGCTTTTCTCCCCAGGGAGGTACCGCCCAAGTTTGTCTGTGATGTCATGCTACACGGACTTGCACGCCAGCTCCGGCTTATCGGCGTTGACGCAGAGGCCATGGACACAGTGGCTGCCGGGCAGCGCCACGTCACCTTCAGGTCAGGCGTCCGAAACCCTTCTTCATTTATTGGCCTGACGCAGCATGACGAAAAGCAGTTTCCTGGAGGCTTGAACATCTGCAAGTGAAGCTCCCATTCAAAGGTGCCATGCTGCACGAACAGGTGACCCAACCTCTCCCAAAACTCCATGACAGGAGAATGGTGGGAATGGCTGAAGATCAGGGACGGTGGGTGCTCACACGGGACATTGGCTTCATCAACTCAAGGTACACGGATCTGGTGTACTGGGTGCGGGCGGACGACAGAAAGCTCCAGGCTGAAGAGGTCATCCAGGCCTTTAAGCTAGATCTGGCCAGGCAGAGCCTCCTATCCAGGTAGGGACGTGGATCCGGGCGGAAGGCCCCTCAAGGGGCAGCTAGCCTTCATGTTGACGCGTGTACTCCCTCAGCTCCCAGGCATGGAGCTGCTGTGCGTGGTCCAGGTGTTCCTGCAGCCCACTGGACCTCCCGATCCCTGCAGGTGTGCCAAGTGTAATGGCAGCTTCCTGCCAGATCCAGTGGGTCCAGCAGACGTCGAGTCGCTGCAAGTTCCGGAGGGTGTGCTCCTCCGGCAGAAGGAGTTTTGGGTGTGCGCCAAGTGCAGGAGCGTCTACTGGAAGGGATCGCAGTATGAGGCTGCCATCTCACGGCTGACCCAGATGACGACGCGTCTCAGTCTCAATTCTTGCTGAGGATGGTCTATGGAACATACATGTATGTAAATTAGATTCACATCACGTGAAGTGTCGACATCAGGGCTGCCTCCGCCTCGAGAAGATGCTGGACAGGTCCTCAGTTGCAATGTTGGCCCTTCCACGCAGCTGTGGGGGAATGAGGAGGCTGTCCCCACGCCCTGGAGCAGCGCTCAGAGGAAACCTTGTTGTGACCTTCTGCTTCTTGGTTGCAGAGGAAGCGGCGGTGAGGGGCAGCTGGGGCGCTGTGGATGGGTGTGCCCTCTTTGGCCAAGGTCCTACTGTCTGACTTTGCCCTGCCGCAAAGTGAGCTTCCGGCTCAGGCAGTAGCAGATTTGGGGCCGGTGGAAGGGCTATGGTTGTGACAGGAGGAGTGAGGTCAGCAGTATTCCTTGGAGTGGGCTCCTGCTCGACCTCTTCGTCACTGCTCCCATAGTCCGCTAAGGCCTCCATAGCCCGAGGTGGGGCGCAAGCTTCTAGGCCATCTCAGTCTGCGCGGATGATTCTGTTTCCAAATGGTGTTGGAGGTGTATCCTTCTGCAGATGAGGCCGCTGCAGGCCTCTTGGGCCTGATGCACACGCAGTCCATGCTGCGCTACGATGCAGCAGCTCGCCACCCCATCCAAACTCCAAGACATCCCATGATCCGGCGATCGGGACCCTGTCGAGGCAGTACGCCTGACCATTCATCGAATAAGAATTTGAGCACTATATACTCAGACCGACCACACTCCTGCAGTGCCGGCGGGCCGTCTCCGAACGCCTTGCTAGTCACTCTTCTTCCGGCATGCTCCGCTGATGCAATGGAGGGGCCTCAACCTCCCGGCATGCTACCGTGTGCCAGCCCAATACCCATAGCAAGCCTCAATCAATGCATCGCCCATACCCGGGGGGTGGAGCCCCGAGCAAGCCTCGGGCTCAAGCCTTGGGACTGGCAGTTCTGGGTACCCACCAGAGGGCCGCCGAGGCCTTGCCGAGGCCCTGAGGCGCAGGGCGTTGGTCCTGCAGGAGGCGGCCGGGACCTGCTCGGTCCGCCGGCGAGCACATCCGAAAGGGGAGATGTCTTCTTCCAGGGAAAACCGCATCTCCCAAACCTGTCGATGGGCGGTGGCTCTGGGCAAGGAATCGGGGTAAGCGGCTTTGGGATCGCTGGGGGGGTGGTTGCAGCTGCTCTACATTGGGACTGTGAGATGACTCTTACCTATTAAGAACTCCGTCCTGGCTTAACTTCGCCAGACAATGCCTGCAGTGTTGTCTACTTTGGCATAGCTGTCCTAGCATGTCCTCTCTCCTTACCACGCCCTCTCTCCTTACCTGCAGTACTCCAGCTTTTTCCTGATTCAAGCCCCACGCCTCTGGCCCTTCTCTTGGTGGTCACCCCCAAAGAAATTGCGGACGGAGGAAGAGAAGAAGCGGATCCTGATTCTGATGTCGGACACCGGCGGTGGCCACCGTGCCAGCGCGCAGGCCCTCAAAGCCGGCTTTGAGGAGCTGTATGGAGATGCATACAAGGTAGAGTCTGGTGTGCAGGCATGACCTATTACTGGCCAGAAACTGCATTACGGGTGGCTGCCGCGTCGTCTGACTCACACGCAAGCATGTCATGGACGCTGTCTGGCCAAGTGAGCCTTCCCGACAGACATCACCGGCACCCTCTCCTCCCCCTTTCTGTGCCCCAGATTGATGTTCTTGACATTTGGACTGATTACACACCTTGGCCTTGCAACCGTCTCCCCAAAACATACTCCTTCCTTGTCAAGTATCCGTTCCTCTGGCGGCTGGGCTTCCTCACCTCTCAGCCACGCTTCGTTCACGTTCCTGTCACCACGGCAACCGCTGCATTCGTGGGACCCCAAGTGTCTCGAGCTTTTGACGAGACACGGCCGGACCTCGTCGTGTCTGTTCACCCCCTCATGCAGGTGTGTGTGTGTGTGTGTGAGGGGGGTGAGCTGGACGCACTTGATACCGACGTCAATCGGGTGTTGATACCGGTCCCATTGACTGAGCCATAACACACTACCCCGCGCTAGCCGACCCGGCGTCCCCTTCCATCTTCTAATGGCCACTCCGTCAATGGACCTCCGCCCTGCCGTGCCGCACATTTCCCACCTCTCCACCTCCCACCATCCGCTCCAGATAGTGCCAGTCCGAGTTTTGCGCCAGCGCATACGCAATGGCCTGCAGAAGGCAATCAATTTTGCGACGGTCGTCACAGACCTCACCCGTTGCCACAATACCTGGTACTACCACCGCGTCGATCGATGCTTCGTGGCCACGGAGGCCAGCAAGAGGCAGGCGCTCGACATGGGCCTCAAGGTGAAGTGAATTTTCTGCAGCAGGACAGCATGTCACAAGTGGACTTTGGTAGTGCTGCTGTGGATGCTGATCTTCAAATTCCAGACCCTTTTCTGTTGTATTCGGGCGCAGCATCCGACCATGCATGTTCCCGCCGTCGGGCGTTGTCCTGCTGACTATGCGCTTGCCATCCTTGTTGCCCTGTCTGCAGGAGGACCAGATTCGGCTGTATGGACTCCCCATCAGGCCAGCCTTTTCGCGGAAGTATCCCCCCAAGGAGAAGCTCCGCAAATCTCTCCAAATGGACCCCAGGAAACCGGCCATCCTCCTGGTGGGCGGCGGCGAGGGCATGGGACCGGTGGAAAGGACGGTGGAAGCTCTCAGCAAGGTGCGCCCATCTGACGTGGGAGGTGGGGTTTGGGGGGGAAATTCTCATGAACCAAGCTTGAGAAGAGAATGAACCCAGACAGCCTGCTGCCAACATCTGGGTGTTTGAAGAGGTTCACTGGATGAGGTATGTCTGGCATTGTCAACTTTGTAAGCCGTTGTCTCTCCATTCCCCTCCGACTACCAACCAACCACGTTCAGGTTTTGGATGTGGAATTCCAGCTTGTCGTTGTCTGCGGAAGAAATCACAAACTCGTAGAACGGCTGAAGCGAAGGTCGGTGTGCAGTGGGATGCCTCTTTGTGAAAGGGCTGTGGTCTGATGAGGAGAATGGGATTGCCTCTCTGGTGAGACATTTGATCCGCTGGATCACATGCAATGCTCAATGACTCACAGCATGCCATGTGTGCTGTCCAGGCGTATCTCATCACGAAGACATGCTCACGTCCTTGTGCAGGGAGTACCCAGCTGGGATGCAGGTGCATGTGAAGGGCTTTGTTGACAACATGCCAGAGTTCATGTTTGCGAGCGACATCATGATCACAAAGGCTGGGCCTGGAACCATTAGTGAGGCGCTCATCTGCGGACTGCCCATGATCCTGAATGCCTACATACCCTGCCAAGAGGAGGCCAACATACCATACGTCGTTGAGAATGAGGTGAGTTGGTCGTGCGCTGCTGTTCATACGTTTCTCTCCTTGTACCTACACTCGAGGCATAAGGGGTCGACCAGGTTGCAGCGGTCACACCCCTTCTCAAGTATAGTGAAGGAAGCACCCTTGCTGACCCAGAGCACGCAAGGGTCCCCTGCTAAATCATGTCCTGTCCTGCATCACGGAATCATGGCCGCAGGTTGGTCTCTTTGAGCGCAACCCACACAAGGTGGCGCTCATCGTAAAGGGCTGGCTGGGAGACCAGGCCGGGCAGCTGCGTGCCATGGCCCAGCGATGCAGGAAGCTGGGGCAGCCTGATGCCCTCTTCAACATCGTCAGGGAGCTGTCTTCGATGGTGGCTGCCTGAGATGCGAGCTGACACTTTTGGATGGCCCCAACATTGTTCACAATATGGTTTTCTGTTCGTAGGCATAGATGCGATGTGCTCTGTGTAAGTACTGTTTTGGTCTGCGAAGGGTCCAAGGGGCGGGGCTGCAAAACGGCACAAGAGGGGGAGACAATTCTCTATCTGCATGACTTTGAGCCAGCAGAACATGATCTAGATGCGGAACAGCCTCAAGATGTGCCCTTGTTCCGACTGCGTCGGAGTTGCCCATTGGCGGCATTCCTGTATACCGTGGCGGCCGACTGCGGAAACTCCACCGGGGTCTAGGAGAATTCAAATTTTCCAATGGCTCTGCAGGACAAACGACTCGGGGGCCCACTGATTTCTGCCAGAATAACACCTATCAAACTAATTGACTCCAAGGTAATTGACAAGTCGGCAGCCAGCGGGCGTTCGACCTTCAGTCTGACGATCAGCAGACCTCAGCTAGTCGAAGACGTACTCACAGGGCAGCAAGAGTCCGAACCTCAACAGATATGTATATCCCCATCGTTAACCCTAACACGACTCTCCAGTCCCCTTTGAGGACTTCTGGTGGCCTTCATGCCCATTTGGCTACCCTGGAGGGACTCCAGGGCGATGAGGGCTGTGGTGGCCTCAGCCCTTTCACGAGCCTGTGCGGGCGCATACCCAGCATCGCCGACATTGTGCGCGAGTGTTTCTATTGTAGACGTATTGTCTTGAACTGCTGATCATCTCATGTATACCTCTGCCCGTATGCACTTTGTCCGTTGGCGCACCCGACCCTTCTTCCCCCTCGTCATGCCCAGGACGAGAACGCCGAGGGTGCACCCCTGGGGAACAGCGAGCATTGGGAGCACTTTGAGGAGCTCTTTCCTATGGCTCAGATGGAGATTCAGCTGCGTCTGTCACGCGAGCGCGAGGCAAAGGTGCGAGTTTACCTCAAGGTGGCGGTGCATCGGCATTGCGGCGGGCGCAGGCGATGGGATGCGATCTGGAGGTGATCATGTGCACAGTCCACCAGCTCCAACCCATGCGACCCTCGCCACTTACTCCGGCCTGCGATGAGTAAGTCCGATCGAGTCGATCCCCCCACCCCCTGTCCACCTCCCCTCCACCCCAGGAAGCCGCCGAGAAGCTGCAAATCCAGACCGCTGCCGAGGATGCCATGGCCAACCTCCTGGCCAGCAGCATCGGGGCCATGGCCCTGCAGAAAGCTGTCGCCGAGGACACGCTGGCAGCCGCTCGCGCAGAGACGGCTGCGCTCCAGGCCAGGCTGGAGGCGTCCGACGTGGCAGAGCTGGAGACCGCGCTGTCCAAGGCGGAGGCGGAGGTCCAGGAGGCGCAGCGTGGCTGGCAGACGGCCCGCAACGCCCTGGGACAGTCGGAGTACGTGCGCGCCCGGCTCACGGAGCGCCTGAAGCGGTGCAAGCAGACCATCGTCACTCTGAACGACCGGCTCTTCGAGGGCGGGCGGGAGCGCAGGGCAGCCCGGCTGAGGGTCGACATGGCCGAGGGGAAGCTGGAGGTGGCCCTCTCTGACGCCACACATGCGCGCGACGTGGCTGCCTCCCACAGGGCCCAGCGCAGCCAGGCCCAGATGGAGACGCGCTGGGCCCTGGAGGAGGCCGGCGAAGCGCGGCTGCAGGCGGAGGAGGCTCGTAAGGCGGCGGCCGCGGCGACTGCCGATGCAGCCCAGGCCAGGGCGCAGGCTGCGCAGGCAGAGCGTGTGGCCAGCGAGGCCACTGCCAAGGCTGACGGCCTAGCAAAGGACCTGGACCGCACCGAGACGGAGGTGGCCGCGGCCAGGAGGGAGCTGGACCATCGCATCCAGTCCTCCTTCAGCATCCCTGCCAAGAAGGCCATCTCCCTTGCTGTGAAGGTGGGTGGTGCGACTGCCATTGGGGCCTGCTGCAGCCAGGGGCCTGCTGCGGGGCCTGCTGGACCTGTGTGGTGCTCCCTGCGCCACTTGGCTATCCTATCCCAAGGAGGCATGCCTCATTGTACCCCATTCATTGGTGCCATTCTGCCTGTCTGCAGGCTTTCCAGACTCCCAAGACCCCCAAAGCCGCCTCTCCCTCAGCCGACGTCCAGATGGCTGGGGGGTCTAGGCGTCGCTCGTGGCGCAGCATCTTCTGTGCGCGCATGTCCACCACACTTGCCTGACCAAGTTTTGCCGTTGTACCACCCGACAGGGCCGACCCTGGGATGCCACCTTCTACTTCTGACTGCTCCTGGCCAGGACCCAGAGATACTCTGCCTCTACACGCAGCATGTCACCAGGACCATGCGATCCATATGGGTGCACATGACCGGCACATGCATACCTGACGACAAGACACACTTACCCCATTGCTCTTGTGTGCATTAAAAGTAGCCTGATGGCCTTTCGATTGGACTGCAAGATTGGAGGTTCCATGTCACCAGCGGCCATGCCACCAGATGACAAATACAACGGCCGAAACTGTGCATGAAGGCTGGGATCGACCCGCCAACCAAAAATTCGGGCTCCAGATCGAGGTCGACACCGGGCTTGCTACCAGAGTGGCAGCGTTATAGACCAAACCCACAAGGCGGACATACCGCATCGCATCGTGGCAACTGTATAAGGGTCGTTGCACTGTGACATTGCTGAAAAGACAATCTTCAATGCTCGTAATGCGGGGCGTGCAACTGGCTAGGCAGCCGCTGCTTCGGCAGGGATGCAGGCTTCAAAACACACATGATCCGGTATATGCCTCCCAAAATCAATGCCAGAATAGGACTGGGAAGGAGCATCTGCAACTACGTCATGGCATCTTGCCGGAGAAGATGCCGTTCAGTTTCGGAAGCCTTCGCCAAGGTACTTGGGGATGAGGAGGGACAGTGGGCCCTCCAAGTGGCCATGAGCTTCAAGGTCAATGAGACAGTCGCCTGCATGTAGTTGTGTACACTCCACACCCAAATCTTACTCGCTGCTAAATTTCAGGCCTATTCCCTACTCCATGCAGTTTGCACAGCAGCCGTGGCAGCAAATATCACAGCTCCCGAAACAACACCAGAGGCATGGGAAAACCTTTCTGTGACCAAAACCGACTCTGGCGTGGACATCACTGTGGAAAAGTCGGACAACACATACAGGGTATGTGTAGCGTAGCCTACACACCCACGAACGCCAGTTTGTTTATGGCAAAAGAACTAGAAATGCTTAGGTTGCCACTATTTCCCCCAATTCCACCATCTTCAGGTTTCCATAGAGCTGACAGATGCGTCCTTGCATGATGGACTTCTACACTGGGGCATAAACGACTGGGACGTCCCTCCTGAAGCTGTGCAGCCACCTGGGACTCGAGAGGCAGGCGACCAGGCTGTGCAGACGCCCATTTCTGGCAACAAGGTCACCCTGAGTTTCCCAGCGGTGAGTGCCTTGCCGCACCGGTAAAGGCCCCGGAGCATGCAGAGCATGAAAATTGAGCTCCTTTCCACATGGGTGTCCACCTGTGCGTGCCATCGCATCTCTGTTTCAATGCAGGACGGGTGCCCGAGCAAGGTAGTGTTTGTGTTGAAGAAGGGTGAGACCTGGACCAACAATGGAGGTTCAGGATACTCTGCATTCCTCAAACCCCCTGGAGTGGACGAGCTGCACTCCAAGATCATGGCTGCAGAGGGGACGTATGAGCACTGGTCACTCTTCAGTCGCTTCAACATGGCTCTGTCCATCCTGGAAGCTGCCGATGCTGCAGGTCAGATTGTTAGAGCTGGGTGGACGGCTGCGATGCTGGCGATCAGCGCTCGGCCTGATTATCCGGCCGCTGTGCTCTCACCCTCACCCTCTATCTCAGGTGTAAAGTGCATTTGCTGTCCCACGATCCAGACATCTCTCTGCTGAAGACGCCTGGTGTTCGACCCCTGCCCATGCAGGCGCAGAGGGGATGGCGCTGGTGGCCACCTGGCTACGCCTCAGTACCATGCGCCAGCTGGACTGGTATCGCAAGGCCAACTACCAGGGCAAGGACATTGCTCACGTGCAGAAGCAGCTGGCGCAGCGCATGGCCGAGAAGGTGACTGGGCTGACTGTGATGTAGACCTTTCTCATGGCCAAGGGTTCCAACCACCCAGAGGTTATGTTCCTGAGGAGCAAATGGAGCACGACTCTGAGATTGCTCCTTCCCTCACAGGCGCGAGGAGCCAAGGACCCCTGGTGCCGCCTTTTCGCGCGAATGTCCCTCGCTGGCTTGCCCAGGGGCGGCGGGGATGGGGACGCCATCAGGATGGGCATCCTCAACATAATGCGGGAGCATGGCATCCGAGAGGGACACCGTCCAGTAAGCTCTGGCTGTACGTGCTCTAACCTGCCGCAGGCTGCCCCTGCAACGATGCACCGAGTTGGTCATATGCTGGTTGACTCACAGACCCCTAAACGCGTGGCAACCCAATCGGTGGTCCGCTCTAAATGCTTGCGTCTCAGATATTATGCCCCAATTGCCCTCCCCCTTCAGGGCATCGAGTGCCACTTCCTGGAGCAGTGGCATCAGAAACTTCACCAGAAGTGAGCTTGGCAGATGCACAGGGTCTGCCTGAGGGTTTAGGGATCCGTGCGACTGCACTGCACCCCCACCCCGCCCATGCACCTGCCAGAAACCAGGCCCTCCAACCTGCAGCACCACGCCCGAGGACATCCACATCTGTGAGGCATACATTGCATACCTGCACACCAACAGCATGGATGATTTCTGGTGAGGAAGGCACGCCGTGGTCCCCAATAGCAAACGATATGGGGATAGGGAAAGCCGCTTGCGCCGTGTCAGGCCCGGAAATTTCTCCGAGCCCTGGCCATGCCTGTGCACATCCCTGCCGCTCCAGGCCCGTGTCACTCTCGCCTCTCTGACCCCCAGGCGTGTGCTGTGGGACAACGGGCAGGTGTCACGCGAAGCGCTGAGCTCCATGACGCATCCCATCACCGCCCAGCCGCTGCACCTCCCCCAGCTCATCCCCTCCATGAAGCACTACCTGTGGATCCTCAAGACGACCCACTCTGGTGGGTGCGCTGCAGCTCCAGGGCCGCCCCTGGTGGTGGCTGACCACTTTGGCTGAGCATGCACAAGAGCCGTGCATGCTGGCCTGGACGCCTATGGGGAAGCACACAAAGGAACGATCACGCAGTGAGGCAGCCCCTGTGCCCCCAAATCGTGCCGCGCCGACTCCCTGCCATCCCGCCACCCAAACCTTGTAGGTGCTGACATGGACGTCGCCTTGGAGATGGCGCGCGGCCACTTGGACGGGGAGCTGGCCTGGATCATCGGCGACATCCTGGCAAACAGGACGGCTTGGTGGGTGCCGGGCAAGATCGTCCAGGCCCGGCACAGGCTGAAGCAGTACTGGCAGGTGGGTGCTTGGCTGGGTCATTTGCCAATGGTAGGCCATGAGTTGCAGAGCGGCTGTCCGAAGCTTGTGTGCACAGGCGTGCTGGCTGTTCTCCGATCCGGCTGCCATGGCCCCCACCCGCACGCACAGAGGGAGGGAGCTTCGCGGGACGTACTCCTGCTGGACATCGCGCTGGACAGCTACTTCAGACTGTGTGTGGAACGCACAGACCTCGGCTCCCTCAGGTGGGGTCGGGGCTTGGTGTGCGAGTTGCTCAGAATGCATACACCTTCCTTGCGACGGATGGAGACGCGTATGCCAGGGACTGTGCTGCGCACCACACGCAGCGGCTGCCCTGCCTCACATGCTGTCCATTGCCGACCCGCAGCGGCGACGACCTTATCTCCCTGGTGATCCTGGTCCTGGACAACGCCAGCGTGGCGGCAGAGAGCTCCGACCTGGAGGCCGCTCTTTCCTTATGGCGGCGGGTCGCCGAGCAGGAGCGCTGGAGTGGCGATTGGGCGCGCCTGGCCATGGCCGCGTCAGACTTCTCCGCCCTGTGCCTGCAGGAGTACATGGACCGCATCGCAGGGTGCGTGCTGGGGTGGGGAGAGGGGCGTTGCGGTAATCGTGCTGGAGAAGTTGGGAGGGTGACTGGTATGTTTAATCATTGTGTGATGTCCTGAGCTGGCACTCTGTTTGTGTTGTTGTTCTGGGCCAGGGCCTGTCAGCCCCTTTCAACGCTCCTCTTCGATCCCGCCCACGCCCTTGGGGCACAGCCACCTAGAAGGCGGAGGTCTGGCGGGCCTCCTCCCAGCCACCTTCCTTGCTTCCCCTCCCCTGCAGGCTGGTCCAGCCCTTTGCCAACGATTTCAAGGCCGCCTGCAATATTGAACCCAAGTACATCCTCAACTTTGGCGAGGAGGTGGTCAGGGGCCAGCCGGTATTCATGCTGAGCGTCCTGCTGCGGGCCCTGGGCCCCAAGCTCCGTGGAGCCGCCTCACTCGGGCCCTGGCAGGTGGTCAGTGCCGCAGGCGCGGATGGGGAGGTGCTACTCCTGCCCAACCTGGACGGGGTGCAGGGCCAGACCATGCCTGGCGCTACCATCATCCTCACCGAGCGGCTCACCGGCAACGAGGACATCCCGGTGAGAGTAGGGGCTGGGTGTCACCATCACTCAGGGAGCTCCACCAGAACCTTGGCACGCCATCAGGGGAGGACCAGGGGCGCAGGAGTGGAGGAAGCCATGTACTGGAACAGGTGCAGGCTCATCCCATGCCATGTCTGCCCAGCACCATATAGACATGTTGATGCGGCCGGCCATCTTGTCCCCTGCAGGAGGGGGTCACTGCGGTGCTGACAAGCAGTGCGACAGACGTGCTGAGTCACATTGCCATCCGTGCTCGGGCCCAGAAAGTGCTCTTGGCCACGTGCTTTGACCACGGGCATTTTGAGGGGCTGAAGGAGCTGGCTGGCTCCCATGCGGCCGCAGTGGTGACCCCTGTGGGAGACGTAAGCCTGGCTGCCATCGACAGGACCTCCGTGGGGCCGGAGGCTGTACCTGGGAGCGCTTCAAAGGCGCCCAAGATTTCCCTGGCCAAGCCCGCGATGCGCAAGCGGGGATCCTCATGGGTGCTGCAGGAGCCGGAGTTCAAGGCCTCCGTGGTGGGAGGGAAGAGCCTGAACCTTGCAGCGCTGCGACAGAAACTGGATTCCCTGCAAGATGTTTCTTTGCCGGCATCCCTGGCGCTCCCCTTTGGCACGTTCGAGGCCGTGCTGGCTTCTCCTGAGAACGCTGCCGTGGCTAAGACCGTCAGCCTGGCCGTCAAGGAGCTGGTGAGGGGCCAATGGAGGGCCGTTTAAATATGCTTGGCGTATATCTTGGCACGGTTGGTGGGGGTGTTCTGTACTGCTCTCTTGCACGGCATGATGGGGGGGCGAGAGCTTGTGGCAGTCAGGTCTAGGTAGTGGCCTTGCATCAGCTTTGTGAAGTGGGATTATTGCTCTCTCTGAAATCTAGCAACCCACTGCGCACTCACAATGCACCATGCAGGCTGACACGGCGCCTGGAAGTGGAGTACCCAAGGCCCTTGCATGCCTGCGAGAGCTCATACCCTCAGCCCTGGCTGCCCCAGCCGGGTTCAAGGATGAGCTGGCGCAGAAACTCGTGGCTGAGGGCTTGGTGGCAGAGGATGCATTCACTGAGCAGCTGTGGTCGCGTGCCTGGCAAGCCATCTGTACGGTGAGGCTGGGGTCTGGATGCCTGTGATCAGGTTCACCTTGGATTTCGAGTCTGAACAGGGAACCTTCGCCGTAACACCTGATCCAAACGATTGCGCTTGCCTGAAGATGCCTGCTGGGGGGTACACCTGTGTCACAAAGAGCTTCTGATGTAGTCAGATTTTACACCGATCCATTCGCCTTCCGTGTGCTGTGTCACACCGTACGCCCTGCCCTGCAAGCAATGACCTTGTCCCCCACTATTCTGGGCAAGCTCCTTCCATGCCCTCCTCTCATACACCCAACCCTTCACCCTCCAGGTCTGGGCAAGCAAGTGGACGGACCGCGCCTGGCTCAGCCGCCGCGCGCAGGCCATTCCCGACGCCGACCTCTCCATGGCGGTCCTGCTGCAGCCCATCGTACCCGCCGACTACGCCTTCGTCCTGCACAGCGCCGATCCGCTGACTGGGCAGCGCGGCTCCGTCCACGGCGAGGTGGTGCTGGGCATGGGCGAGGCGCTGGTGGGAAACTCCGCGGGGCGCGCGCTCGCCTTCAGTGCGGCGGCCGGGGCGCCGGGCGCCGGCGCCGAGGACGCAGCGCTGCTGGCGCTGCCCAGCAAGCGGCTGGGCCTGTACCCCGACCCCAGCCAGGCGCTGCTCATCGCCCGCTCCGATTCCAATGGGGAGGACCTGGAGGCCTACGCCGGCGCAGGACTGTACGAGTCGGTGCCGCTGGCCCCGCTCCTGCCCCGCACCCTGGACTATGCCGCGGAGCCGCTGGTGTGGGATGCCGCCTTCCGCGCCGACCTCCTGCACCGCCTGACCAGCCTGGCGGCGGGGGTGGAGGCCGCCTTTGGTGGGGTGCCCCAAGACATCGAGGGCGTGCTCAGCGGCGACAGGCTCTACGTCGTGCAGGCCCGGCCGCAGGTGGTGCAGAACTGAGGAGGACTGGGAGCTGTCCAGAACCGGAGACTGCTCACTGGCAATGCATAAGCGTGTCAGCTTGCCGGCAAGGCTGCTGCTGTGTGCCTTTGGTCGGCGCTCATGCTCTCTGCAGCATCTAGAGTGCCCATGTATGGATCTTCTACCCTCTCTATCACATGATGCACTACGTACAACTCTGGCATCCACGGGCACCATGAGGGGTTGGATGCAGGCCTGCTCGACAGACTTGATCATAATTATGCCGCCAGGCTTGCAAGGTGGCGTAATTCCAGCTGCACCCGCTTTTCCCGGGAGCATGCCCAGCCGACCCACTCGCTGTCGAGCCACGCAAATCAAGAGTGTCCAGCGTGGCGCGCCGAAGCTCGGCGCCGCTTGGGTGAGGGCTCCGCGGCGGGGGCCGTCACCTGGGACAGCCTGGAGCCGGCCCCATGCTCCACCCCGCTGGACTGCGGGCCGGCGGAGCTGACCGCCTTGCGCGCGGCCGCCCGCCGCGCCCGGGTGTCCAGCGCGAGCGACGTGGCGGGGGAGGGCGGCCGGTGCTGTTGGTCTGGGAGGGCGCCGTCGCGGCCTGTCGCCGGCGCTGCCCCCGAGGCAGGCCCCTCCTCCTCCGCCCCGGCCCCCTCCTGTTGAGCACTGGTGGCCATGCCGTTGTCCCCTACAAACACGGCCGCGGAGGGCCCGGTGTCGGCGCGGGAGTGCACGGTGACGCTGGTCTGCGGCCGCGGCTCGTGCGGCGCTGCACGGGGGCGAGCATGGCGTGCGTGAGTGGTGCGGCAGGGACAATCGCATCCATCGCAGGGCATGACGCTGGCGTGGGGGATCGGTATGTCGGCCCCCTTGATACACAGGCGCCTGCCCCCTCCACGATCGCAACCACACCCACCTCCTGCGGCCGCGGTGGTCACGGTGGAGGCGCTCCTCCCCATGAGGATGGTGGCCTGCGCCGTGGCCAGGCTGCGCTGCTTGGCCGCCCCGGCGCGCGGCGGCGCGGGGCTGGCCTCCTTCTCGGCGGCCGCCGCCGCCGCCGCGCGGTCACCCGCCCCCCCGCCCGCTCGCCCTCCGCCCCGGCCCCGCGCGACTCCCCCGTCTGCACCACCTCGAAGGCCTGCGGGCGCAGGACCCCGCCGCACGTCCCCAGGCGGCTGGCCGTCGCCTCGCCTTCGTCGGCGGCGGGCGAGCCGTGGTCGCAGGCCGTGCCCTCGCCCGCTCCGCCGCCGGCCTCGCCGTGCCACGGTCCGCGCTCGCTGGGCTGCGTGCCCGCGCTGCCGCTGCCGCCGGAGCGCAGCTGCGCGGCCGCGGGCGAGGCGGGGGCCAGCGCCCCACCGCACCCGCCCCCGCCCCCACGCGCCTCGCCGTCCACGCGCATGCCGTCCCACCCGGCGCCGGCCTCCGTGCCGGGCGCCGTCAGCGGGCTCAGCGCCTGTTGGTCCCCCGCAGGGGCGGGCGCGTGGGAGGGGGGGGTCGCGGTGCGTGCGGCCGCGGACCCCGCGCCCCGCCCGGCCACCGCGCTCCCGGCGCCCTCGCCATCGCTGGCGGCGTCGGCGGGCGCGGCCGCGCCGCGGTCTCGCCCCGGCACCGGCGCACTGGCGGCCGTGGCCTCCAGGGCCCCCACCCCGCCTACACCGCCCGCACCGTACTCGCCCGCATCCCCCACCTGGCCATCGGTCGACCCCGGCCGGGCCAGCTGACGGTGGAGGCCGGCGGGCGGC